GAACCAGAGAGTGTGTTGACCACACAGTCGTCTCCAAGAAAGCTGCTAACAAACAATGGAGGCCACAGAAATCAAGCCTGTTATGTTGCTTCCTCCTATCATTCACTTATTCATTCATTCTCTCTCTTGCTGTCTCACACACTAATTTATATATATATATAGTCTTCAAAAATTACACACATACATAAATACAAATGTGAATATACATATTGTATATAAAACCTACAAGTAAATAAATTAGAGGTTCAGGGTATATGGGGCTGGGAGAAGCCACAAAGAATATGACCTTCTATAAATGCCTTCCCCATTAATAGAGAACATTTTTCAAGAAACTTCTAGAAATTCTGCACTTGATAGGACCAGGAATTTTACAAAATGAAACAAAAGGTAACAAAATAAAACTTCTACAGAAAGCTTTCTGCCTACATTCTGAAGCTTAAATTATTCTGAGAATTCTTCTGATTAAAGAGAACTTTTATCAGGTATGATGTTCTCATTATTACAGAACGTACACTTAGATGGAACAAAGTTGGAACTGGTGGAAGTCAATCAAATCCAGACCTGAAGCCAAATAAATAGCTATGTGTTGTATTAAGTCTTGTGAGATTCCCAAAGACAGACAGAAAGAAAGGATGGAGAAAAGGAAAAGAAGGAAAGAAGACAGGAGAGAAGGAAGAAAGCAAAGCAAGCTACATAGAAAGTAAACATTCAAGGAAGTCTAAATTGCTGGTGATATCATGTTCAAAATTGAAACTTTGTGGGAAAACATTTTTTTTCAATTAAACCTTTTTATCTTACAGTCACAATCTGGAGATTTTGTATAACATAACATAATGGGAAGTTTAGTAAGAATCCAGTGTGGAAAACATACTAGCACAATGCTGGGTAATGACTTCTTTTTCATATACATTTTGTCTAACTATACAGGATTATATTTGAAAGAGGAAGTCTTATCAAGACTTTTAGTTTGCAAAAGCAGCAGCTAAGGCAAGAATAAAATAGGTGTCCTGACGCCACTCAACCCTGAAAGCACCAAAACACAACTCGATCCCAAGTCCCAATGCTGCTCCTGCCCCGTCTCCTGCCCTCACACTGCGGACTTGTTGATTAATGCCCTTATATTATTGCTGACTGCAGACTCTCATCTTGCTATGAAGTGAGCAATTTTCACTTTCTATTGCCTCTTTATGTGAAAACAGGAATGGCCATTACTTAATAATCTGAGCATATTAAGAAAACATGTATCCTTTGTGCTATAATTTTTGGTATGTAGTGACAATAGGTTAAGCCAGCTAAGATGAAATCTTTTTTAAAAGAAAACATATGGCATATGCACAGCTCTGAAGCTATTTTAATTGGGCCCTGGGGAGTAGACGCACAAGAGACCACCATGTACATATTGTTGAACTGTTTTTACACCCACTATTAGGACTGTTAGGCATACATGTTAACTTAAGCTAAGCTTTATACTAAAATGCTATGCCAAGTAAAGTTTTTTGTATTTATTCTTCAAACTTCATAGGTACATCTGCTGCAGAAAATATCAGAAGCCTGTAAATATCATGATTAAAGGAAACAAAGCATTAACATAAGGAGTCTACCTTTCTCTACAAGGAAAACTTTAATCGCTCAAATACCATATTTATGTAAAGTTCTAAAAACGGTTCAGACGCATGGTATTAAAAACAAGTCATGGAAAAATTTCTACCAGAACCTGGTGGGGTCAACAAACATGCTGCATTGGCTTCTTTCTCCAGTTTCCTTTAAATGACAGTGATAAGCTTTAAACCAATAGGAAAAAAATATACAAAGCCATAAAGACAAGAATGAGTGACAAGATGGGAAAAAAAAAGCCAAAAAGTTGATTTTTCACTGGCATAACTGATCCAAAAAAGCAGAATTCTAAAGCAGTAACATTGTTGAAAACCTAAGGATTGAGAACCAAATCTTCCTTCCCCTTCCCCTGACAAAGGCCTGTTAACACCAGCACCCTCTTTAAAAAGCAGGGATGTCAAACGGGACGGCAGGCTTAAAGACGGCAAAAAAGCCTGACATCTAGATTTTGCCTTTTACCCCCTGCATTCTGCTTTTCTTTGCTGATTTGGCACACATCTAGAGATTTTGTCATCTGGAGGGAGCACGACAGGTCTGTGGACTGAATGCAGGGCATCTAACACTGAGGACAGCAGCCCTACGGCACCGGAGCCAGGAGAAGGAGCTAAGGCTTGCACACTGACTGTCAAGACCTATGGTTTTGTCCTGCCTGTCAGTTCCCAGAAAACTACCACCTAGTTCCTGCCTTCACGGAAAGGTGATACAAAAGAATTCATGTGGGCTAGACAAATTTTCAGAGAAAACAGAAAATATGCTAAAGTACTGAAATGGATGCTTTATACCCACTGCCTAAATCAGCCAGATAGGAAGTCCAGAGCTCCAATCAACTCTTTAGTGCCTTGCTCTTAAATATGACTAGGTGTCCTGGGACATCTCAACATTTAAGGAAAACTTCTACAACAGAAGACGAAATAATGAGAAAAGTACATCTTTAGGGAAACAAAAATGTATACAAAGAGAGAAAAAAAATTGTTTTAAAAAAATCATTAATATCTCCAGAGAAACACAACAGAATATAACCGTGAAAGAGAAGAAGCATGATTCTATACAAACAAATGAGAATTCAGGGATCAAAAATTAAACATTGGTGATACCATGGAGTATACAGGAATTAAAATCCCAAGAGAAAGCATGAAAGATACAACTGAGGTTGTTTTGTAACCCACAGAACAAAACCAGAGACAACAATAGAGAGAGAAAATTAGAGAATATGGGAAAGCTATTATAAATACAACAAAAAGAAACATTAAGTAATATTTTTAAATTTGCAAGAAAGACTGAACAGGCTTACTAAGTTTCTAGTGGCACGGACTAAAACAAAGTCACCCCAAGACATATACTTGCACACTTTTAAAAAACCAATGCTAAATGCAGAAAAGGATCAAAAATGAAAATGGTATTAGAGAGTTGAACTTTAAGTACGAGAGGAAAACAAAGCTTTCAATATTCTGCAGGAAAGTGATTTCTATTCTACAGCTTTATATGTATCAGATTATTAATTAAGCATGATAAAAAGTAAATATTGCCATATCATTAAGGTCTCAAAATGCTCTCACATACAGTACCTTTTCTTAGAAACTACTGGCAGTTGAATTTGCTAAAATTACGGTGCAAATGAAGACACACAGCAGAGTACTGTTCAAGAATAGAGTATTCAACATAAAAATGAGGCAAAGATACTCTGAATACGAGGGAGACCAGAAGTTTCCAACAGTTATGTCTTCAAGTTGAAAATGAGAGATTTGTAACATACTTGAATCGAGAAAAGGATATTTATATAATGTGTGTGATATTTATATATATGTGATATTGCATGTGATAATGTACGTGATATTTATATAATGTGATATATATAATATATAATACATAATTATATAATGATATAATACTTAGAGATAAGTATCCATAAAAAAGCAAAGAAAAAATAAAACTATGGAATAAAAATAAGAAATTATTAATTCCAAAGAAAATAAAAAGATGTGCAAAAAGGAAAAACGATGATACACTGTATTGTTTAGCTTCAAATCCAGTTTACGTAGTCAAAACGGTGTAAGTATGTGAACACCAGCTATTGATTCTCGGGGTCTACCATTTACCGGGAAGATGTGAGGGTGAGAAGGACGGGGGACTGGGCTGACACTGTGAAAGCTGAACATGACTGAGGGAAAAAAAACTAAAACCCCCTCTGCCATGACAGAAAGTCTGTAAATAGCTCTGAAACCAGAAAAATCTAGATGGAGCCAGATAAGCAATTTTACTAAAAATAATCACCAAAGGAATAGTTAAAATAATTTAAAGTGATCGTGGCCAAAACTTAGGAATGGAGTGAAGGATGTTATAGCTTTACTTTTGGGGGGAAGGGAAGGGGAGGAGAGAACAATTCTCATCCAGACTTTTTTTTCTTAAACCATATAAGCATTAAACTCTGATTTTCAAAAACCAAATTTTATGAAAACCTGTATAATACAATGACCAACATGGAACTCTAAACAGTCCTACAAACCTTGGTCATTCTTATCGTTCTGCTACTGATATACCATGAGTTTTCCGAACCCACATCATGAAAGCATACTCCCTAACTCATAATGATACAGCATTTCCTGCTTGTGTCACTTATAACTCTATTTTTGCTCATTAAATGGCAAAGTGAACATTATCGGCACTGTAACTGACTAATGCAAATTTAGTGAGCAGCTCCTAAAACTTGACAAGGTCTTTTTAGCTCTAGACCACTTGAGCTCTTTAGACAATGAAAGCACATACCACACCTCTTTTTACTAATTCCTGAAAGCTCCATAAAAACTCCTAGATACACACACACAAGCTTCTTACTAAGAAATCATGTGACCACTATCATAAACACACACTAAAACCAACAAATTACTTTAAGATACTCCCTAAAATTCAGACATCTTGCACCAGCACCTTTCGAAGGGATTTTGGTCTCTACAGTAATCAATGCATATAATCAATCAGGCACAGAAATTATGCCTTAACTGACATTTCCAGTAGAGGACTCCAGGACAAACTTTGGTCTCTAAGTACAGGAACACTGGGCTGGGGATTTATCTCAGCGGCATAAGCACCTGCCTTGCAAGCAGGCGGTTGTGAGTTTGATCCCCGGTACCAATAAAAAGAAAAAAAAAAAAGTACAGGCACACCTTTTAAAGCAAATCCTCTATTGAAAACTGATCACACTAGAGAAAAAAACACACAATGGTGAACGAATTTGTGTAAGAATCTTGAGGAAAGCTTTGTCTTAGTCATTTAAAAGAAGCTTGTCAGAGATTCCAAAATTTTCAGGAATAGTCTATGATGTATTCTCTCTCTCCATTTGGAAGACATTATATGGCATATTACGTTCTCAGGAAAAGAAACAAACTTACCTTTCACAAGCTCGGACAGTCCACGCGGCAATTATCCATAATGAGATACTAAAAACCAGGAGCACAGTTCCTGGGCATATAGTCATTAAAGTCTTCATAACAAAACGTGTATTGAAGTTTATCTTATTAAGTGCTCCAATGCTTCTAGAGGAGGCATCAGTGAACAGTTTGCTATGTAAAAGCATGACTCTGGCAATCAGGTAGAGTCTTAAGAACATTGGTATAGATAAAATAATGTCCACATCAGCAGTGGTAGTGGAAGGGGTATAGGAGAAGGCAAGCCGGGCCGTCCATGTGAACGTGTAATTCCCAGGTATGGGATGAATAGCACACACCAGTATTTCCAAGCAGATGAAGAAAATACGCTCATAAGTCATGGCTATTCTCCAGTCATCTGCTCCATTGTCCACCATGAATAACTGAAAAAATAAAGTAGAAAATCAGCTTCAGTATGGCATGAATGGTCTATCAGTGTTAGTGCAGATCTTAACAAGACATAACAGATGACTTTTAGCAATCATGCTAAGCTAAATTAGGGCAGAAATTTTTAACTCTAACAAGCTATGCTAGTTTTTTTTTTTTTAAAGGATATTGTTTCAAAGGGAAACTTCATTTTGTTCATAATCCTGGAAAGAACAGTAACATCATTTTAAAATAAGAGGTGTGGGCCTGTTAGTAATGAAATCCCCTCAGATGGAGTAAAAAAAGACTTTGCTTGCAACAAATTGTCCTCTTTAAGACTGGATGCAAAGCACTACAAAATTCTATCTACTTAGCGTGAACTCTATTCAGGGTGCCTCTCAAATCAGTTACATCCTTTAATGCAACAACACATGAGCATCCTATAACAAATCTTACTCTTGGCTTCTGAAAAACTCACAAGAGACCAGAACAAAATGTGGCAGAAACATTTGTTTCAGCTTCTTTATTGCTATTCAGTTTTCTATTTATTTTTTCTATTCTCCAACTGCCTTGAATTATTAATTCATTTTCAATCTTTCTTTAATAAAGATTCCTTTTTTTCCCATTTCTGTCACTCATACCATAATTAAAGAAAATAAACTGAGAGAGAATACAGAACGAATGTCTCCCTCTCTTCTTTGGCTGTTTGTAAACAAATCCACCCGGCCCTAGAAGTCCATAAATAACCGGCAGCATTTGGAAACATGTGCTATCTTTTCTGGCTGTCACGATGACTTGTGGGGGCTACTGGCATTTAGGGCCAGGAAGCCACGGGTGCCAACCACGCTGCAGTGCCGGAGTCCCACGCACCAGGGAGACCTGTCTGCCCAGAATGCCAATAACGCTCCCCACTGAGGAAGACGTCATGTTCTCTGCCTTCTGCTCGTAGCCAACTCAAGCAGGAAGCCTGAGAAGAAAGCAGTCCAAATGAGAACAGTGTATTCTCAGGTAAGAAAGTCACGATGAGGATCAGGCAGGAGGAGCAGATCCACCCATGGCTGGATTCTGCATCCACTGCCCTCCCAGAGTCAGGAAGTAGCTACTCCCCCACTGGGATGATGCAAATCCCTGTTCTTGCTTAATTCTCCTGTCGATGACAACCACTTCCCATGATATTATTCAAGTCGGTTGCTACCTCAGTGTTTCTTTGCAGAGATAGGAATCTAAGGACAAAAACAGCCACTTTTTTCTGGTACCTCAGGAAGATGGGGAAGCAGCATAATCTCATCAAAAACGGTGCAGAATTTTGATTGTCTACTTTCTTCAGCAAACTTGGCTCTGAAAAACTTTGACTTTGTCAAAGTCAAATCTAACTCCAAACAGGCTGAAAATCACCAAGACTCCAAATGGAAAAAAGAGGTGCAGCAGATTCTGAGTGCAATTCCAAGAGTGACTCCCCATCTGAGCAAAAGCAGGACAAATGCAGGATAAGTACTATTCCAATTCATGGGGAAAGACATGTCCATGTATGTGTGCATCTACCATGCTGCTTACACTGCTCTCCTGCCTTCCCAAGACTTCCCTCCTGCCCATCCTCTTTTCAGCACTTCCCCAGCAAGACTTCAACACTAAACTCACTGCTGTTTTTACAGCCTCTGCTGGGCCTGCTTAGGTGACACCCAATCTGGAACCGGGGGTCCAGGCTGCTGCAGGTGGGGTCAGGGCTCCGCACACCTGTGCCTTCAAGCTCAGCTGAACCTCTAGTGTCATCTATGATCGTCCCTTGGTCTCCATAATATATTTCCCTCAAGGGCCACCTCTGTTTCCCTTCCCTTCCATCAGAGTAAACACCCCCTACTGCACACTTTAGCCACAAGCATGCCTACATCTATGATCTTTTCTCTTTATTTTTTCTTTTCTTTTGCTTCTCATTTCTAAATCAGTGTCGCATCAAAACCCAGTTCCCCTGGACTGAAAGCCACCTGCTCATGCCCCCTCCCTCTCTGCAGAGTACACAAACAAATTCAAGTCACTACCATTTACTGAAAACAAAGGAAACAAACAAACAAAAACAATGAACCAAAAAACAACAACAAAACTAAAAACAAACGAGACCCCCTCCAGCAGGGCTTTGTCTGCCCAGGCTGCTCTTCACTCACTTCTCCCACATGTAGATTTTGCTACCATCAGCCCACAACACTATTCTTACAAAGGTCACTGAAGATCTCTTTCTGATGAAATCCAATCCTCCCATTTAAAATTTTTATCGCACTCAGCCTGTCATTCCTTTCTTCCTGAAAAAGATCTCTTTCCTTGGCTTCCATGACATGTTACTTTTTTTCATCTGCTGACACTCTCAATGATCTCAGGTCTCCTTCCCCACTTTAGAGCCCTACAATCCACCCTGAACTTTGTCCAACTCTACATCGTTCTGGATGACCTCAACCTTCACTCTCAGAGTCTATTCCACCCCCCCCAAGTGACCTCTTTAAAATACAAATTGGATAAACCCATTACCTTCAAGATTGAAATCATCCAAAATCCCTGCCTCATGGATAAAGTCCAATCTACATTCACCATACACAAGGCACTCTGCAACCTTCTGCCTACCACTCCCTATGCTTCCCTATGACTGCAGATTGCAGAATACATTATCCTAATCCTGTTCTGTGCCTTCCCCCTTCAGTTCTATACCCTGCAAAGTCTCCATCTAGCACATGCATATTTCATCCAGACCAGATTTCATGTCACCTTCCTTAGAATATAGTCATTGTCTTATTCAAGTCTCAATACATACACCTTTGTTGCACCATAATCCCCATATGTGGCTCTTACTGATGCTGTCACAGAAGACAAGAGTTTCTTTATAAATTGTTATTCTTGTTTCAGGGGCTCCTCAAGAATGGAAACCATGGGTACCCAGCAGAGGATAATCAGTGCTTACTATAAGATCTGACATTTCTCACTTACCCATGACTATCCCAAGCAATGGATAAGTCTTGATGAACATTAAATATGTTCATGGAAGGTAAGAATACTAAAGCAAAATGCAAGTAAATCCACATTTTTCAAATTATAAGGAATATATCCTACTAAATAGTAACATTACAGCAGCATAGTTGTAATTATACAGAAAGTCTAGATAACTTTCTTCATTGGTAACTTCTCCAGAAACACGTTCTAGCTCATCATTTCTTTTTACCACAGGACATTTCAACACCTGAAAGGATTTTATTTTTGGTTTTGTTTTTTGCCTAGCATATGTTTAAATGTTAAGTTGAGGAAAAAATGTTTTATTCTGCTTGCCACATGATCCCCACCCTAAACTTTGCTTATTTGTTTATACATTCATGTAATAAATATCCAAAGTACAAAGTATTACAATGCAATGCTGTGCTATGCACAAGAAAGACAAAGTCAAGAAAGCCTACATGTAGCAATTTAATAAATAATCATTTCTTTGGACATTGCTATAAAGGATATAAGCAAGAGATGAAATTAAAAATAATCTTTTGTAAATGGGAAGGAGACTAAGAGATGGTATAAGAGAAAAGGAGAAGAGGCGACAGTGATGGAAGAGAAAAAAGAATTAAGATGTGCTAATGAACATGGACCAAGTCCGCAAGATGAATATAATCATTACGTACTATCAATATGTACTAATATAACTAAGCTAAAGATTAGAGCACAAAAAGGTTGACATGACAGCAAACGTGGTTATCTGAGAAGACACCTAAAGAAGGACCATTTATACAGGAAGTCCTGTATACAAGCAACCAGTCCCATTGACAGCCAGGGAAATAATATAATCCTGTGCAGAGAAATAGCAAACATAAATGCCCTGGGCTTTTCAAAGGTTTGCATGCTTACCTAAATAAAGGAACACCATGGTGGCTAAAACTTAATGATCAAGGAACAGAGAGAAACAGGGTAAATTTGAGAGATAAATTAGGCCTGAGTATGCAGGACTTGTGCTGGCTATGGCTTCCGGTCTTGGTTTCATTCCAAGGGCAGTGAGAAGCCACTTCGGGGCATAAGGTCGAAAGCTGACGTGATCCGAAGCTTAAAGAGCTCCTCTGCACTGGTCCAGGAAGCCGGAGTTGAGAGAGGCAAGAACGGGAGGATACAAGTTCCACAGTTCTACTGATTGGCCTGGATGTAGTCCTGTGACCTGTGCCAGGTATTTTTACAGGAATGGAGACAGTGGGTACCCTGGACAAAAGGCTTGGGGGTCTTGCTAGGATTTGTAAATGTGCTCAATGTGAAAGCAATAATAGTAAGAAACTACTTGTAGAAATTTCACCAAGCAGTCTGGATTCTTGAAATAAATTTGGGGATGGAAGTAGAGAGATCAAAGGAAATATTAGAGAAAGTACAGAGAAAAGAACAGGACAGTGCTCAAGGGCAAGTTACACAGGATCCCAAATGTGGAGGGCAGCTGGCAGTTCAAGCCGTAAGAGGAAGTGAAATGTAGCCCTCTATGAAGCAGGAGGAAAAAAATGTGCTATCCTAGGAGCCAAGGGCGCCAGGTGTCAATTACAAACTGTAAACACTGTTTACCAGATTTAGAGATGTGTTAACATACTCAATATTCTCTACCGATGATGTAAACATTCAAAACATCACATTCGATGGCTCCTTCAATGTCAAATATCAAAATCCAATTGGAGAAATATGCTGCTACATTCCATATAATAGATATGATCTGTTTTGAGTTCGCTTGTAAAGGATTTAAAGTAATCAGAAGGACAGATATTAAAGTATATCTACTGCCATTTTTCATTCTGATATTCCTAAGACCTGGGGGCAAAAGTCTGACAGTTTAATCTGCTTTAATTCTAGAGCCACGGATAACAGTCTTCAAGAGAGGTCTCAAGTAACTCACAGGTATAACACAACACACACCCTCAGAATATCGAACAAGCTTCAATTTTCTGGATAACTATTTTACTTTTGTTCAGATAACCAAAACTATGGAAGATTAACTGGACGAGAGAGTCATTAACTCGGCAGAATG